TAAGTAAGGCGTTTGATAAGGTTCCCCATGGTAGGCTCATGCAGAAGGTAAGGAGGCATGGGATAGGGGGACATGTGGCAGATTGGATTCAGAATTGGCTGACCCTTAGAAGACAAAGGGCGGTAGTGGACGGAAAATATTAACATGGTGCTCAGTTACGAGTGGTGTACCACAAGGATCTGTCCTGGGTCCTCTTCTATTTGTGATTTTTGTAAATGATTTGGATGAAGGAGTGGAAGGGTGGATTAGCAAGTTCGCGGACGATAGGAAGATGGGTCGCGTTGTGGACAGTGCGGAGGGCTGTTCTAGGTTACAAAGGGACATTGGTAGGATGCAGAGTTGGGCTGAGAAGTGGCAGATGGAGTTTAACCCTGAAAAGTGCGAGGTGATTCATTTTGGAAGGACAAACTTGAACGCAGAATACAGGGTTAATGGAAAGATTCTTGGCAGTGTGGAGGAGCAGAGGGATCTTGGGGTCCATGTTCACAGTTCCCTGAAAGCTGCCAGCCAGGTGGATAGAGTTGTTAAGAAGGCGTATGGTGTGTTAGCTTTCATTAATAGAGGGATTGAGTTCAAGAGCCGTGAAGTTATGCTCCAACTATACAAAAGCCTGGTTCAACCACATCTGGAGTATTGTGTCCAGTTCTGGTCGCCTCAATACAGGAAAGATGTGGAGGCGTTGGAAAAGGTGCAGAGGAGATTTACCTGGAATGAAGGGAAGGTCTTGCGAGGAAAGGTTGAGAGAGCTAGGGCTTTTCTATTTAGAACGACGAAGGATGAGAGGTGACTTGATAGAGGTGTACAAAATGATCAGAGGTATAGATAGAGTGGACAGCCAGAGACTTTTTCCTAGGGTGGAGGTAGCTATTACAAGGGGGCATAGTTTTAAAGTGAGTGGAGGTAGATACAGGGGAGACGTCAGATGTAGGTTCTTTACTCAGAGAGTGGTTGGGGCGTGGAATGTGCTGCCGGAGAGGGTAGTGGATTTGGCCTCGGGGGCATTTAAGCAGCTATTAGATAGACATATGGATGATAGTATAAGGTAGGGGTGGAGGTTAGATAGACCTTAGGTTTAGGGTAAAGGTTTGGCACAACATCGTGGGCCGAAGGGACTGTACTGTGCTGTACTGTTCTATATTCAATGTTCTAAATGACGCTATCGTGCCCACCTCTACCACCTCCGCTGGCAACGCGTTCCAGGTACCCACCACCCTCTGCGTAAAGAACTTTCCACGCATATCTCCCTTAAACATTTCCCCTCTCTCCTTGAAATCGTGACCCCTAGTAATTGAGTCCCTCACTCTGGGGAAAAAGCTTTTTGCTATCCACCCTGTCTATACCCCTCATGATTTTGTAGACCTCAATCAGGTTCCCCCTCAACCTCCGTCTTTCTATGTAAATAATCCTAATCTACTCAATCTCTCTTCATAGCTAGCGCCTGCCATAACAGGCAACATCCTGGTGAACCTCCTCTGCACCCTCTCCAAAGCATCCACATCCTTTTGGTAATGTGGCGACCAGAACTGTACGCACTATTCCAAATGTTGTCAAACCAAAGTCCTATACGCTGTAACATGACCTGCCAACTCTTGTACTCAATACCCCGTCCGATGAATGAAAGCATGCCATACGCCTTCTTGACCACTCTATCGACCTGCGTTGCCACCTTCAAGGTACAATGGACCTGAACACCCAAATCTCTCTGTGCATCAGTTTTCCCCAGGGCTTTTCCATTTACCGTATAGTTCGCTCTTGAATTGGATCTTTCAAAATGCATCACCTTGCATTTGCCTGGATTGAACTCCATCTGCCATTTCTCCGCCCAACTCTCCAATCTATCTATATTCTGCTGCATTCTCCAACAGTCCCCTTCACTATCTGCTACTCCACCAATCTTAGTGTCATCTGCAAACTTGCTAATCAGACCATCTATACCTTCCTCCAGATCATTTATGTATATCACAAACAACAGCGGTCCCAACACGGATCCCTGTGGAACACCACTGGTCACAGTTCTCCATCTTGACAAACTCCCTTCCACTACAACTCTGTCTCCTGTTGCCCAGCCAGTTCTCTATCCATTTAGCATGTACACCCTGGTCCCCATGTGACTTCACTTTCTCCATCAGCCTACCATGGGGAACCTTATCAAACGCCTTACTGAAGTCCATGTATATGACATCCACAGCCCTTCCCTCATCTATCAACTTTGTCACTTCCTCAAAGAATTCTATCAAGTTGGTAAGACATGACCTTTCCTGCACAAAACCATGCTGCCTATCACTAATAAGCCATTTTCTTCCAAACGTAAATAGATCCTATCCCTCAGTATCTTCTCCAGCAGCTTCCCTACCACTGTCGTCAGGCTCACCGGTCTATAATTACCTGGATTATCCTTGCTACCCTTCTTAAACAAGGGGAGAACATTAGCAATTCTCCAGTCCTACGGGACCTCACCCGTACTCAAGGATGCTGCAAAGATATCTGTTAAGGCCCCAGCTATTTCCTCTCTCACTTCCCTCAGTAACCTGGGATAGATCCCATCCGGACCTGGGGACTTGTCCACCCTAATGCCTTTTAGAATATCCAACACTCCCCCTCCACCCCCCCACCCCCCATTATGCCGACTTGACCTAGAGTAATCAAACATCTCTCCCTAACCTTAACCTCCATTATGTCCCTCTCCTCGGTGAATACTGATGCAAATTACTCATTAAGAATCTCACTCATTTTCTCTGATTCCTCGCATAACTTCTCTCCTTTGTCCTTGAGTGGGTCAACTCTTTCTCTAGTTACCCTCTTGCTCCTTATGTGCGAATAAAAGGCTTTGGGATTTTCCTTAACCCTGTTTGCTAACGATATTTCATGATCCCTTTTAGCCCTCTTAATTCCTCGTTTCTATGACTAATGTGGTAGAGATAGACCAGGAAATTACAGACCGGTGAGTCTCATGTCAGTGGTAGGGAAGTTGTTCGAGAAAATTCTGCAGGAGAGAATGAATATCTACAAAGTTGCTGGAAAAGCTCAGCAGGTCTGGCAGCATCTGTGAAGGAAAAAACAGTGTTAACGTTTCGGGTCCGGTGACCCTTCCTCAAAACTCTGTTTTTTCCTTCACAGATGCTGCCAGACCTGCTGAGCTTTTCCAGCAACTTTGTTTTTGTTCCTGATTTACAGCATCCGTAGTTCTTTCGGTTTTTAGAATGAATATCTACTTTGAAAAGCATGGGTTAATTAATGATAGTCAGCATAGCTTTGTCAGAGGGATGTCATACCTAACAAATATATTAGAATTTTTGAAAACGTGATCGAATGTGTAGATGATGGAAGCTCAGTTGATGTCGCCAATTTTATATACTGGGACCTTTATTCCTTTTTATATAATGGATGGCAGGACACAAGAATAGAAGGATCTTGGGATAATTATTCACAGATCCTTGAAGTCGGCAGACCATGTAAATAGGATAGTTAAGAAGGCCTATGGGACAGTTGCATCAGTCGTGGGATAGAGTATAAGAGCAAAGAGATAATGTTGGAGTTGTACGGAGTGTTTGTTAGGCCACAGCTGGAGTATTGTGTGCATTACTGGTAACTTTACTAGAGGAAGGATGTGATAGCACTACAGGGGTACAGAGGAGGTAGGATATTGCCTAGGATGAAGAAATTGAGCTATAAAGAGAGACTAGATAGGCTTGGATTGTTTTCTTACAATCTTTAAAAAAGTATTTGGATGAGCACTTGAAATATCATAACATTCAAGGATATGGGACAAGTGCAGGAAATTGGGATTAGCGCACCTTTGGTGGTAGTTATTGTTGGTGCAGCCTCAATGGGCCGATGGGCCTTTTTTGCACTGTATGTGTCTGTACTCAGTGCCCTGACATGCCTTCTATACCACCTTATCCACTTATGTTGCCACTTTTTGAGAGCTGTGGACTTGCGCCCCAGGATCCCTCGGTAAATCAGTGCTTCAAAGGGTCAAGCCATTTACTGTATACTTTCCTCTTGCATTTGACTCCCAAGAATGCATCATCTCACACTTGTCTGAAATATCTCCATCTGCTGTTTCTTCACCCAACTTTTTGACTGATCTTTTTCCTGTTGCATCCTTTGACAACCTTTGTAACTATCCACAACTCCACCAATTTTCATGTTATCTGAAAACTTACTAATCAGACCACCAGCATTTCCATCCAAACCATTGATATATATTACAAAGATCAAAGGTCCCAGCACTGATCCTTGTGGAACACCACTGGTCACAGACCTCCAGTCAGCAAAACACCCTTCGCGACTACCCTCTGTCTTAAAAAATCAAGCCAATTTTATATCCAAATAACCAACTCGCCACAGATCACGTGACTTAATCTTCTGGATCCTCGTCAGATGCTTTAGTAAAGTCCATGTGGACAGCATCGACTGCCTTACCTTCATCAGTTATCTTTGTCACATTCTCAAAAGAGCTTAATCAAATTTGTGACATAGGACCACGCCCAGACAAAGCCATGCTGACCACGCTAATAAGTCAATTTTTTTCCCAAATGTGAGTAAATCCTCTCCCTCAGAATCTTCTAATTTCCCACCATTGGTGTTGGAAAATTACACTGGCCTGTAATTTTCTGGATCATCAGTTATGGATAGACATTGGCTATCTGTTGCTAACAACACAGTAGCATTTCTGGTGTGGTAGGAGAGTTTTGGACAATTAATCTGGAAGCTTGTCACTGGTTCATGACTAACATTTGCTTTTCCGCTGCTGTGCTTAACATTGACAGTTAAGTAAAGCTTCAAAAGTCAGCTTTGACATGTCGATGTGCTCTGTTGGTGTTCTGAGTGCATCACAGTACTCCGTTAGCCAGTCCAGTTAATCATTCAGTGATGATCACAATCTGTTTCAACAGTGAATCTAATAAATTGGATAGATTTTGTGCAGATTCCAGGAAGGATTGACAAGTGAACTAGGTTTGACTGTTAAGTTTCTGGCTTCTTTTGTTTCATTGTAGGTTGCCTGCATGATGGGACTTGTGTATCTTACCAGCGTCGCAGGAATTATTGCTGGAACTGCAGTCCTGCGCCAGGCAGTGTTTTCAAAGGGCCAGATGTGTGTGATCGTCCGGAACCAAGAGCCTGTTTTGAGCCAGGGGGTTATCCTGGACCCAGTGGAATGCACCAAGGAGGCCAAGACCTTTCTGTCAACACCATTTGAAGCAGCAGCCAGTAGTTTGGCCCAGTCTGGAGGCTCTCCTTCCAGTCTTCCCTGCTGTATCTTAGAAGCTGATGGTAGCAGGGCAAACTCTGGCATTGGGGTAACTGCACTGTGTCTTTGGGGGACTGTCCTGACTTCACTCACTTACAGTAATGACCTGAGGACCACTCGAGAGAGGTCTGGAATCGCAGTGCCCATTTCTTGTTCAAAGTGTTGTAAGCTGCAGAGTGAGACCAGGTTGGCCGTTAAATGCCAGTCATCAAACCAGACATCTGTCCAGATCGCTTTTCGTCGCAACCCATTGGAAGTGTATGCCTCCCTCCATTCACACAACGCCTTGTCTCATGTTGGATGTGATGGTTGTACAAAAGAGACTGAGTTAACAGGAAAGCCACCTCACAGCATTGAGCGACTGATGGACATCTTGTGTCTCCCTGGTTCCCGAAGGATGAACAGATGCCCTGTGGAAACAGCACTGGCATTTGACCAGCTTGCGATGCCAATCTTACCCAGTTAGGAGAAGCGAATTTCCATCGGTCAGATTTTTTGGAATCGATAGTTACAGCTATGTCAGACTGAATTGTTTCCTCTTCTTTGCCCCCATCCCTATCCAAGTTAAGAACATTGAAATGATCTTAAATCCAGCCATGAAATCAGCAAGACAGACATTAAAATCACAACTTAACCTCAGTCAACTACAAAAATCTGGTGTCCAGAATTGGCAGCTATACCTAACCTAAACAATAGTGAAATACGCCATAAATTCACCAAATGCCATCAAGTTTGTGCTTGGTACGCAGCTGGTCTTTTTGTCTTCAAGACAAAAATTATAGACACGGGGGCTAATATGAGCAATAAATCTGATTTATAAAAAGACCCTTCCGTTTATCTTGATCCTTGTATCAAATATCTCAAGGTGCTTTGCATACAATGAATTACCATAACTTGCAGCTGTCCCTCACCTAGGAGAACACAGCAGCCTTATGCATAGCAGATTCCCCCAAGGGAAAACAAGAAGAATGGTTTGTTTGATGCTATTGGGTGAGAGAGGGATGTTGACCTGGGCAAGAGAAAGGCAGAGCAGTGAGATTTTCTTTCACATCCAGCCTAACAAACTGGAGCAAGAAGACAGTAGCTCTCTTTGACATTTCAGCTGAAAGACAGTATCTCTGGCAAAGCAACACTGCTGTGCCGTCAGCTCCCGCGCATCTGTAATGTGTGCTGACATGTTTTAATTGGAGCCGGAATCCAAATTTTTTCACTGCAAATGAAGGAAGATATGACGTAAACACTGTTGGTTTGTTGTACTTTGTTTATTTTTGAGTCATGGGCCCTGATACATCTGGGATTTCAGGATTGTAAATTTCGATATTTTTTATTATGGTGATCGATGAGCTTTTTTTTAATGGAGAAGTTTAATGAAAGTGGCTAAGAACTGGGCATGGGATACAAAAAAAAGTCGACATCTCTGAAATCTTAGCCATATGTTGACCTTTGTTGAGAGACAAGAAAAAAAGGAGACACCATTTTTAACTTTGGGAACTTAACTTTACAAAAACAAAACACCTTTTGTACTATGAGTGTCAATTGTACTTTCTGTTGTATTCACAATGCAGCTTTACAGTTGGGTCTTAGAGAATATCAGAAGGCAAGTTTGACTTTCTAATGGATATTTCTTCAAAGGGTGAGTTTTTCTTAACATGAACCATTTCAGTTCTGTTTTAATCCAGCAGTTAGAGAGCTTAGAAAAATCCTGACACAAAAGAACAAAACTCTTGAAATGGTTCTTTGGGAAAATTAAACTTTGGGTATGTGTGCATCAAAGGATTCAGCCCCATTGAAGTGACACAATTGATGATTACCACTTTGCTCTGAAGTATTCACTGTGGAGTTGGGAAAATCAGGCCCTGTTGGGCTCGTTGCTGAGTGATTGAAGAGCATCTGGATAAGGAAGCATTGAAGGTTAGGAAAATTTCATAATTAGCACTTGGTTTAATTCGGTAGTCACTTAACCAGGATTTAGCTGCAAAGATCAACTTTTGGTTTCTTCCTAAAGGATTTAATTGTGCTCTGCTACGTGTAGAATATACAGTCAAAATGTAAACAGTTCCCTCTTCTTTCTACACAAATGTGTAGTTCTGCATTTTTGATGCTGACTATATTTTTGCAGTCTCTGTGTTGTAATTTAAAACAAAGATAAGTTCAAGAGTAAACTTCATTCTCTCCCCAGTGCCCAAGCCTATTTTCTGGTCTTCCTGGATTACTGTCCTGTGGTAAGTAACCAATTCCTTTGAACTGCTTTGGTCCTGGTTTTTCTGATTCCAGATGGGATGTTTGGAGTGATGGAAGGTCCAATCTAGCGGGACTGCTGCTTCCGATCACTACCTAAATAGGCCAGGCCATGCAGGATATTTGCATTGGCAAGATTGTTAGAATGGAATTTGTCCTCACCCCTGCCCCTTACAGTTTGAGTGTGCCAAACTGTTGAGGCTTAAAACATTGATTGGGTTAAATGCAGGAGGACAAGGTGTACGTGAAAGAACTCACCCAGCAAGGATCATGTGCCTCTGGAAACAGAAGGCATTAGTTTAAAAAAACACTTTAAGACATGTTGAAGAAATGTAGCTCCCAACAGGTGAAATATTTTGTATAAAAAAACTGTATATCCACCAGTTATTTTGAATTTGGGAATTGTAGCCTTGAAAGTTTCAGATGGTCATTGAATTGGTAGTGAATCAAAATAATCAGAGCAGTTTTTGCTACCAAGCATCATCACAGCAAGTATCCTATATAGTGCAACAATAGGCTTTGTACCTGTTAAATTTGGAATGATGTCTAGAAAGGACTAGCATTCTAGAAAGATTCAATTGCCTCCCTTCCTCTGGTCATGAAAGATAATCTAAATTCAACAAGCAAGCAACATTTTAGCTATAATGAAAACCATGCTGGTGAAACTCGGCAGGTCTGGCAGCATCAACGGAGAAACAGAATTAATGTTTTCAAATCCAGCGTAACCCTTCATTGAACTCAAAACTTTCTGTCTCTACAGATGCTGCCAGACCTGCATTTCTCCAGCACTTTCTGAACTGATTTCAGCTGTCCAACATCTGCAGTACTTTGCTTTTATTTTAGTGTTTTTGCGAATGTTAAGGTGGAAATTTATTTTTCAGATATTTGTTTCAAGTTTAAGTATCTATGCACCAATACTTCAGTGCAGGTTCCAACAGGGCTGCAGACCCAAAAGAAAAAGCTAAGCAGAAAATGCTGGAAACTTGAAATAAATGCTGGAAACACGTAGTAGATATGTCGGGTGTCTGTACGCAAAAACCCGTTAAGATTTTGGCTTCCAATGCCCCAGCCAAACAATAGCCATTGATTGTTAAAGGTATTTGATATACCACCTCTTGTTGGTTCTGCTCACATTAAGTGCTTTGCAGACGATGTCACACTGAAGTATCATTCACCCACAAGTAACACACACATGCAGGAAACTTTCAGCTGGTCAGGCAGCAGAATGAGAAACACAGTCAGTGTTTCGGGTCAGTGACCTACTGTTATTATTTCAGGTTTCTGGCATCTGCAGTGTTTTGCCTGTATGCCCCTTGTAAATATTAAATGCCTTTCTATTCAACTGACTTTTGAGGAACACGGCAGGAATAAAGCATGCATTTATCGGATTAAATTTAATTCAATGGTGAAATTTCCAACTAACTTGCTTAAACAATGTAAAGGCTCAGAGGAAGCTGAAACTTTAAAAGTACTACTGTTGAGTTTTCAGTTGATTAAAATGTTAGAATACAGTTCCAATCTTGCAGTGCAGGACGAGTGTACTAACTACAGTATTTCTAATTTCTTTTCATTGGCGAATAATGCTGATTAAAGAAGCACATCTGAACTAATTTAATTTTTTTTAACAGGACTTTATTGTTACAGTTCACTTATTATGACTGGGCTTTCCTTCCACAGTACTCTCCTTAAGTGAAATTCTTATTTGGTGAATAATGCAGTTGTTGTGGAGGAGTACTTCCATTTGTTGTAATACAGTTTCACTCCGTAAAGACACACCCACTTATATTATATTTAACACATTTGAAATTGTTACATGGTAGTATTAAAAACTGCAGAATTATTCCTGCATTTTTATGGTTTTGCTAGTCTTGTACTCTTGTCAGTTCTTTGTGATGCATCTATAATTTTCAGGATTATTTGCTCTACTGTGGTCACATCGTTTTCATATCATTGTTTGTTTCAGCTAACTTCTAATAAATGATCTCGGTTGCATTTAAATTCATTTTTATGTGTCACATACTGGCGTGTGCCTTTGAAAATTAGATTATATTTGAATAACCCCACAGATGGTACTGCTTCAATGTCACTGTGATAGAAAGTAGGAACATCAATAGACCATTCAGCCCAATGATCCTGCTCCACTGTTCAACATGATCATGGGATCGATCTCAGGGTCACACTCGCGCGCTCTCCCCATCATGCCACCTTTAGCTTCTAGAAATCTAGATCTTTATTTTGTAAAAGTTAGTGGAATCACGCAGAAGGGGCCTGCAGCAGTTCTATTATCTAGTCTGACTATTATTTAGTGCTAATCTCCTGCCTTTTCTCCATGTCCCTGCACACTATACTATCTGAAAAAGCACTTTTGAATGCCTGCATTGATCCTGCTCCCATCACATTCCCAGGGAAGTGCATTCTACGTCCTAACTACTTGCTGTGAGAAGTCTTTTTCTGACATCACCCTTGATTTGTTTGCACATCACTTTAAATCTGTGCTTGTTCTATTCTCGTTTCTTTTATAAGCAGAAACACCTTCACCTAATTTACTCTGTCCAGCCTGCTCATGATTTTGAAAACCTCTATCAAATCTTCTCTCAGCTGCCTTTCAAGGGAGAGCAATCCCAACTTCTTCAATCTATCCATCTGGCTGAAGTTCCTCATTTCTGGAGCCATTCTATTAAATTGTTTCTGTGCTGTCTACAATGTATTCGCATCTTTCCTATAATGCAGCATCCACAACTCTAGCTGAGGTCTAAAAAAAATCTTGTACAACCCCCAGATGAAAAGAGATAGTAAGAACTGCCGATGCTGGACTTGGTGATCTTCCTGCATCTGAAAATGAGCCCAAACACATAACGTCTTTGATAGAACTCAGAAATTGTTTTTGTTTTATAACACAGCCGCACTTAGAATCACGCAAGGGGCGGTCAAATTGAAAAGGATAAAGAGGTTATTCAATTAGTAACAATTTAAGTACAAATCACCTGAGGAATGCCAGGTTATCAATGTCCTTGCTTTTAAGATGGAGTCCAAAAGCCCAAAGCTGGCATAAACAGTTGGGAATTCTTTTGTGGGGTAGTTGATTTGCTAGGTAGCAGTTCAGGAGTCATTAACAGTTTATTTTTAAAATTCCTTTGAAGGTCAATTGAAGAATATTGCTGAAATATAACTTCTCCTTCAGTTTTAAACTTGAAAACATGAGAGAGTAGGCCATTTAGCCATTCAAGCCTGCTCCTCCATTCATTGTGATCATGGCTGATCATCCCAACTCAACAGCCTTATTCCTGTTTCTCCCCCCAATATCCTTTGATCCCTTTAAACCCAAGTTCTAATGATTATTTGCATAAAGTACAAAGTGCAGGTTGTTGACTTTTTTGTGGCCAGTCCTTTGTAGCCCAGAGCTAGAGGTTTTTACATTATCAGTCGATGTTGTAAAAAATTACATCGACTCCTTAACTGACAAATTTATCATAATTGTATGGTTAAAAGGCTAAAAGGGTTAAGCACTGTGGACATCATGTGTCCAAAGGGAGATGGGGAGGAAAACAGTTACCATTGAGACAAAGGGTTGCATTGCAGATAGCCAA